CGTTAACGTAACGTTTCGTTTCTCCGACGTACGTAATTTGTTAACGGTGCGTGAACATCGGACGTACACGCGTCCTCGATCTAAATCTATGGTGCGAACCAGTGGGACCGTTGTTAAACGACGGTACGGATTAATTATCAAAATGCTCGACCCTTTGTACCATATCCTATTCGACTTTATCGTGCGGTGCATTTCAAAGATGTTTGACATAAAGAGATAATCGTACGATATTTTCAATAAACTGTACATCGACTTTAAAAAATAGCGTACTTCGTATGAAAAGGTTGTTCCGTGATATTTATTCTATACATAATCGAACATCCGTTTTATTATTTGACATAGCAATCAGCGAGATAAAATCATATTTTTTATGCAAATTAAACATTTTAGAAAATTAATAGAATTTTTAACAACTAACCCTTTTAACGAATTAATAAAATTTCTAGCAATTCGCAGTTCTAGAACATTAATAAAAGTTCAAGGAAATTAACCACTTTTGCTGATTAATAAAATTTAAAGAAAATTAATCATTTTAGCAATTTGCTCAAATTTTAAGGAAACTATAATCATTTCAGCAAATTAATAGAATTTCTAGGAAATTAATCATTTTAGAGCAGATTAATACAATTTCATGGCGATTAATGAAAGTTATATAATCACAAAGGACCGGTAAATTATTTTATGCAGCAATGCAACATCACTGCAAACATTATTGCAGTAAAGAAACTGATACGAATTCGAACGACGGTAATGCTTCAATTTTTAGGTACTAATTATAAGTAGATTTAACTGAATGCAAGAATTATTAATAAGGGGAATTAATGATACGGTGTGTAAACAATTTTTATCGAGAGAATAAATGAGAGGATATGTTTTTAAAAGAAATGAAATATTAATTATTTTATTCGGGCAGTCCTTATAAAATTAAATACTATTTATGCAAGAAAAGTGTGACTGAATGTATTTTTAACTGAGATTAACTATATTAAATGTGTAAAGTGATGTGGTCGGCGTAACGTTACAGTATTAATTACTATCAATCGATACCAAGATAGCATGCGTTTCTATTTCCAACTTATCCATTCTTGTAGCGTAAATAGTCATCGGTTTATGTTTTATGTAACTTCATGAAGGAAAATCATCTTCCTATTACAAAGCAAATAGCTAAAACACTGTGTTTATGCACAGATTCGTAACAGCTTTAAACGCATACGTGTGTCTCTAAACATAGTCTCTGTTGGATCTAGTATTTCGAATAATGTTTTAAATAAATATTCTCCTTCTTCGTTCAACTCGATATGGATTAAATAAATAAAAGCTACATTCTATTTGAAGAACAAAAGAATCCAAAAGAATTCCAGACTTGATCGCACTTGATACGATTAATTTATTTAATTAAAAAGGAAACTAGAGAAAATATTGACTAATAATTTGATAGTGATCGTTGATAACTGAACACAGAGAGCGATCAAATTGTAACAGTACTTTTAAAAAAACTGGTAAGTTCTGTAATAATAATACTTATTGCTACACTGCAGATTTTATGCATTTGCAACACAAATTATTAAGTGAATCATGAAAGCGTAAAGATATTCAAACGATTTAAGAATATTGTTTGACTATAAATAACTTCTTAAAATAATTATAAAAGTAAATTAATTTTTCATAATAATAATAATAATCTCATTTCTGTGTCTTATAATTAGACTGCGGATGTTTATGCGAAATGAAATTTTCCATTTTTGTAAGAAATATAAATTGAGTGAAACTAAATTGTACCTTTTAAACATTTTGATAAGTCGAAAACAATGTAACAATATTATTGAATTCTTCATATGTCTTCGCAATTCTATATTTCAGTTACACATTTTTGCCATAAGTACATAGAATCCGCAATCTACTTATAAGATGACGTTTAGCTTCCTATTCTTCGGACTAATGCTCACATATTTTCCATATTAATGAGATTATCAATGCTTTTTATTACATCGCGCAAAAAAGCATGACCTGCCCTTCGGAATCCTTTCCTTTGCCAAGCGCGACTCAAGGACTGTTAACGAGCAAATGGGAATCGTAGACGACGCCATGCACCATGTGAAAAAGTAGACATCGCTTTTTATGGTTAAACCCGTACTGTTGCAAACGGTCACCGTTCTCTTTATTATATCAAGTGGTGGGATCAAGTTCAATATGTACACAGTATGTCAATCAATACTGTCCTCCTTAACTCAATCGACCCAACTAACATTTCTAAACATTCGATCGTAAATTGTTTTTAAACCACCTGCAAAATTCATTGAATAAGTCGGATAGAAATAAATCAAACCTATCTCAGATATAAAAATAACTTGTACATTATATTATAAATGAAATGTAAAAGATACTAAATGAAAAATAAATTTTGTTAGAACACCAATATTCTGACAGTCGAGAAAGTATAGAAGACAGTATAGAAATAAATGCTGTGTTTGCAGTATCAAAGTTCTGCGATAGAAATATTACTTTAAAACACAATGTTTATGTATGCAAAGTTTTTATGGAATTATTGAATGATTTGTTAATTTTGTTAGCTGAAGTATCTTATAATGTTATTATATAATCGATGTACGCTGCTGTGTGTGTGTGTAATCTATGTACGTATCGTATCATCGTTTGTAACTTGTCTTTTACACGTTGTGTTCGTTATCAATTTGTATTAATTCGTCGTTGTTGAATGTTTCACAACGATTTCAATATATTTATATTAAACATATTTAATTCATATATTATTATATTATATAATATATTTAATTATACGTTTTGCGCGAATTCTGTACAATTTCAATCAAAACTTTGCAATCGTTGCAATTATTTCGTTGCGTTAATTATTGATATAATTATTTTGACGAAATTT